TAGAACGTTCTTCATGATCTTCATGTTACACGACTCTCACAAACCAGAGCTAACAACAACTAGCATGCCAAAGTGCACTTCCTGATTATTGGGGAACAAAACTCTTTATAATTAGAATAATCAGGTCTGAGGAAACGTCTCAGACTGAATCTGAGGAAACGTCTCAGACTCTTGACGATCAGTTCTGTCTGAGTTTAGTTTAAATTTTAAAAAGCTGTTTTCAGTCTCTGGTATCGGGCGAGATCCAGATCGACAGAAACTAAAGCTACAGTATCGAAATCGATATCAGGTCCAGACTCCAGGGTCCAGGTTTAGGTCCGGGTTTGAGTCCAGGTTTGAGTTCAGGTTTGGGTCCAGGTTTGGGTCCGGGTTTTGGACCAGGTCCATGTTTAGGTCTGGGTTTAGGTCCATATTTGACTCCGGGTTTGGGTCCAGGTCCAGGTCCAGGTCCATGTTTGGGTCTGGGTTTAGGTCTGGGTTTAGGTCCGGGTTTAGGTCCATGTTTAGGTCCATGTTTGGGTCTGGGTTTAGGTCTGGGTTTAGGTCTGGGTTTAGGTCTGGGTTTAGGTCTGGGTTTAGGTCCGGGTTTAGGTCCATGTTTAGGTCCATGTTTAGGTCCATGTTTGGGTCTGGGTTTAGGTCCGGGTTTAGGTCTGGGTTTAGGTCCAGGTTTAGGTCCATGTTTAGGTCCATATTTAGGTCCATGTTTAGGTCCATGTTTAGGTCCATGTTTAGGTCCGGGTTTAGGTCCGGGTTTAGGTCTGGGTTTAGGTCCATGTTTAGGTCCATGTTTAGGTCCATGTTTAGGTCCATGTTTAGGTCCGGGTTTAGGTCTGGGTTTAGGTCTGGGTTTAGGTCCGGGTTTAGGTCCATATTTAGGTCCATGTTTGGGTCCGGGTTTAAGTCCGGGTTTAGGTCCATGTTTAGGTCCATGTTTGGGTCCGGGTTTAGGTCCGGGTTTAGGTCCATGTTTAGGTCCATGTTTAGGTCCATGTTTGGGTCCGGGTTTAAGTCCGGGTTTAGGTCCATATTTAGGTCCATGTTTGGGTCCGGGTTTAAGTCCGGGTTTAGGTCCATGTTTAGGTCCATGTTTGGGTCTGGGTTTGGGTCCAGGTCCAGGTCCATGTTTGGACGTGTGGGAGTTTCCTGTTCAGAGTCTGGACCAGAGAAAGTCACGTGTGTTTGGGGAAAGTTGCTGCGTCCTGTTTCCTGAGACACTCGGAGACGAGGGAAATAAAGAGACGAGCGACGAAGCTTCACCTGAGAAACTCTGCGAGTGTTTCAGGACAGAACCACAAATCCAACGCCTGCTGCTGGACCACTTTGTGGAGTTTCGTCGGAGTTTCGTCAGAGTTTCATCAGAGTTTCATCGGAGTTTCGTCGGGTTTCGTCGGGTTTCGTCGGGGTTTCATCAGAGTTTCGTTGGAGTTTCGTCGGAGGTTTCGTCGGTTTCGTCGGGGTTTCATCAGAGTTTCGTTGGAGTTTCATCAGAGTTTCATCGGGGTTTCGTCGGAGTTTCGTCGGAGTTTCGTCGAAGTTTCGTCGGAGTTTCATCGGGGTTTCGTCGGAGTTTCATTGGAGTTTGTGGATCCGTTTTTCTCCGGTGAGTCTCTTGAAGCGTCTGCAGACTCTGTAAACTCACTCTGCACTGGTTTTGTTTGTTTTCCACATTTCTGTTTGACTTTGTGTCCTCACTGATGCAGCTCCAGATCGTTCTAAACACATTCAGGAAAGGTTCTAAAGGTTCTAAAGGTTCTAAAGGTTCTGCTCTGTTCTGTCAGTGGGACTGTTTCAGGACCCAGACCTGAGGAACATGAGGATCTGGTTGAGATTCTTGTGGAAACATCTCTGCACACGTTTGAGTTTGTCAGAGCCGTAGAAATGTGACTTTATTTTTATTATTTTCTTCTTTCGTTCAGATCTTGTTTCTGAAAATTCTGATAATAAAAATCTTAAAATCGATAAATAAAAGTGACCTTCTGCATTCGTAATAATCGGACCTTCTGAGCTCGTCTGAGACGAGCCTGAGAAGAAACTTTATAAAACTGTTTTATTTCCAAAATGTTGGAGGCACCAGCAGCTCAGATACATACAGACCACACAGTCCACCTGTACAACACTAACACAAGGTCAGACCGGGTTTAGTCCTGGTTTAGTTCTGGTTTAGTCCTGGTTTAGTCCTGGTTTAGTCCTGGTTTAGTCCTGGTTTAGTCCTGGTTTAAGTCCTGGTTTAGTCCTGGTTTAGTTCCTGGTTTAGTTCTGGTTTAGTTCCTGGTTTAGTTCTGGTTTAGTTCCTGGTTTAGTCCTGGTTTAGTTCTGGTTTAGTCCTGGTTTAGTCCTGGTTTAGTCCTGGTTTAGTCCTGGTTTAGTCCTGGTTTAGTTCCTGGTTTAGTTCTGGTTTAGTCCTGGTTTAGTCCTGGTTTAGTTCTGGTTTAGTCTGGTTTAGTCCCTGGTTTAGTTCTGGTTTAGTCCTGGTTTAGTCCTGGTTTAGTTCTGGTTT